TAGGTCCCTCACGGTAAGGGTGGTGTTTCCACTGCCACACCCGAGCCAGCCTGAGGTCCTCATGGTGTTTCCACTGCCACACCCGAGCCAGCCTGGGACCCTCACGGTACGAGTGCTTTTTCCACTGCCACACCCGAGCCAGCCTGAGGCCCTCATGGCACGAGTGGTGTTTCCACTGCCACACCCGAGCCAGCCTGAGGACCTCACGGTACAGGTGGTGTTTCCACGCGCTCGCTGGAGCTGCTGATGCCTTCAGGGAAGTCGTGTGGACTGTGTACACGCAACTGCGCACAATTCTGTGAGTCGCTTATAACCGCTTTGCCTGTTACTTATTGCCAATTGTGGACTCAGACTATTGTCCTATCATCTCATAGAGTCCCTGGCACGTAATAATATGCTACACAGTGGCAGTGGGGCTCGCAAAATGCCGATTTATTACTAATAAACCACAATGATCCGATCGAAATCAGGGATTTCGATCGGATCATTGGGGGGGCACGTGCCACCCCCCCCCCCCCCCACTGGCTCCGCCAATGCAGTTAGCGGAATCGCCACGACAGAGGGTGGTGAAGGTGAGAGCGGAGAGCGGTAAGGGGTGAGCGGAGAGCGGTAAGGGGTGAGTGGAGAGCGGTAAGGGGTGAGCGGAGAGCGGTAAGGGGTGAGCGGAGAGCGGTAAGGGGTGAGCGGATGGCGGTAAGGGGTGAGCGGAGAGCGGTAAGGGGTGAGCGGAGAGCGGTAAGGGGTGAGCGGAGAGCGGTAAGGGGTGAGCGGAGAGCGGTAAGGGGTGAGCGGATGGCGGTAAAGGGTGAGCGGAGAGCGGTAAGGGGTGAGCGGAGAGCGGTAAGGGGTGAGCGGAGAGTGGTAAGGGGTGAGTGGAGAGCGGTAAGGGGTGAGCGGATGGCGGTAAGGGGTGAGCGGAGAGCGGTAAGGGGTGAGCGGAGAGCGGTAAGGGGTGAGCGGAGAGTGGTAAGGGGTGAGCGGATGGCGGTAAGGGGTGAGTGGAGAGTGGTAAGGGGTGAGTGGAGAGCGGTAAGGGGTGAGCGGATGGCGGTAAGGGGTGAGTGGAGAGCGGTAAGGGGTGAGTGGAGAGTGGTAAGGGGTGAGCGGAGAGCGGTAAGGGGTGAGTGGAGAGTGGTAAGGGGTGAGCGGAGAGCGGTAAGGGGTGAGCGGAGAGCGGTAAGGGGTGAGTGGAGAGCGGTAAGGGGTGAGTGGAGAGCGGTAAGGGGTGAGCGGAGAGCGGTAAGGGGTGAGTGGAGAGCGGTAAAGGGTGAGCGGAGAGCGGTAAGGGGTGAGCGGAGAGTGGTAAGGGGTGAGCGGAGAGTGGTAAGTGGTGAGTGGATGGCGGTAAAGGGTGAGCGGATGGCGGTAAGGGGTGAGCGGAGAGCGGTAAGGGGTGAGCGGATGGCGGTAAGGGGTGAGCGGAGAGCGGTAAGGGGTGAGCGGATGGCGGTAAGGGGTGAGCGGAGAGCGGTAAGGGGTGAGCGGATGGCGGTAAGGGGTGAGCGGAGAGCGGTAAGGGGTGAGTGGACAGCGGTAAGGGGTGAGCGGAGAGCGGTAAGGGGTGAGCGGATGGCGGTAAGGGGTGAGCGGAGAGCGGTAAGGGGTGAGCGGATGGCGATAAGGGGTGAGCGGAGAGCGGTAAGGGGTGAGTGGACAGCGGTAAGGGGTGAGCGGAGAGCGGTAAGGGGTGAGCGGAGAGCGGTAAGGGGTGAGTGGACAGCGGTAAGGGGTGAGCGGAGAGCGGTAAGGGGTGAGCGGAGAGTGGTAAGGGGTGAGCGGATGGCGGTAAGGGGTGAGCGGAGAGCGGTAAGGGGTGAGCGGACGGCCTGTGAGTGAGTGTGAGTTGTGAGAAGTGCGTGGTGAGTGTGAGTGGTGAGTAGTAAGTGGTGAGTAGTGAGCGGTGAGCTCATCGCCAGATCTCCATGACGAACGGGCTGTGAGTGAGTGGTGAGTGGTGAGCGGGGAGTGGTGAGCGGTGAGTAGTGAGCGGTGAGCAATGAGCGGTGAGCGGTGAGCGGGGAGCTCATCGCCGCATCTCCATGACGAACGGGCTGTCAGTGAACGGTGAGCGGTGAGTGGTGAGCGAGTGGTGAGCGGTGAGCGGTGAGTGGTGAACAGTGAACGGTGAGTGGTGAGCGGTGAGCGGTGAGCGGTGAGCGGTGAGTGGTGAACAGTGAACGGTGAGTGGTGAGCGAGTGGTGAGCGGTGAGCGGTGAGTGGTGAACAGTGAACGGTGAGTGGTGAGCGGTGAGCGGTGAGCGGTGAGTGGTGAACAGTGAACGGTGAGTGGTGAGCGGTGAGCTGTGAGCTGTAAGCTGTGAGTGGTGAACGGTGAACGGTGAGCGGTGAGCGGAGAGTGAGTGGTGAGTAGTAGAGTGGTGAGCGATGAGTGGTGAGTGGTGAGTAGTAGAGTGGTGAGCGATGAGTGGTGAGTGGTGAGTAGTAAGTGGTGAGTGGTGAGTGGTGAGCTGTGAGTGGTGAGTTCATGGCCGGATCTCCAGGATGGAGGGGCTGTGAGTGAGCGGTGAGTGGTGAGTCAGTAGTAAGTGGTGAGTGGTGAGCGGTGAGTGAGTGGTGAGCGGTGAGTGAGTAGTAAGTGGTGAGTGGTGAGCGGTGAGTGGTGAGTGAGTGGTGAGTGGTGAGTGGTGAGTGAGTGGTGAGTGGTGAGCGGTGAGTGGTGAGTGAGTGGTGAGTGGTGAGCTGTGAGTGGTGAGTTCATGGCCGGATCTCCAGGATGGAGGGGCTGTGAGTGAGTGGTGAGTGGTGAGTGGTGAGTGGTGAGTGGTAAGTGGTGAGCGGTGAGCGGTGAGTAGTGAGTGGTGAGTGGTAAGTGGTGAGCGGTGAGTGGTGAGTGGTGAGTGGTAAGTGGTGAGCGGTGAGCGGTGAGTGGTGAGTGGTGAGTGGTAAGTGGTGAGTAGTGAGTGGTGAGTGGTGAGTGTGAGTGGTGAGTAGTGAGTGGTGAGTGGTGAGTAGTGAGTGGTGAGTAGTGAGTGGTGAGTAGTGAGTGGTGAGTAGTGAGTGGTGAGTAGTGAGTGGTGAGTGTGAGTGGTGAGTAGTGAGTGGTGAGTGGTGAGTAGTGAGTGGTGAGTAGTGAGTGGTGAGTAGTAAGTGGTGAGTAGTGAGTGGTGAGCGGTGAGCGGTGAGTAGTAAGCGGTGAGCGGCGAGCTCATGGCCGGATCTCCAGGATGGGGGGGCTGTGAGTGAGCGGTGAGCGGTGAGTGAGTAGTAAGTGGTGAGCGGTGAGCGGTGAGTGAGCTGTGAGTGGTGAGTGGTGAGCTCATGGCCGGATCTCCAGGATGGGGGGGCTGTGAGTGAGCGGTGAGTGGCGAGTGAGTGGTGAGTGGTGAGTGGCGAGTGGTGAGCGGTGAGCGGCGAGCTCATGGCCGGATCTCCAGGATGGAGGGGCTGTGGTCGATGATGGCGAGGATGATCTTGTCCATGTACTGGCGCAGGTGGAAGTTGATCCCCTCCAGCTCCTTCAGAGCGTCCATCAGCTGCAATCACCACACAGCATCATCAGCATCAGCAGCAGCATCATCAGCAGCAGCAGCATCATCATCAGCAGCAGCAGCAGCATCATCATCACCGTCAGCATCAGCAGCAGCATCATCATCAGCAGCATCATCACCATCAGCATCATCAGCAGCATCATCACCATCAGCATCATCATCAGCAGCATCATCACCATCAACATCATCAGCAGCAGCATCATCAGTAGCATCATCATTAGCAGCAGCATCACCATCAGCATCATCAGCAGCATCATCATCAGCAGCATCATCATCATAATCATCATCACCATCAGCATCATCATCATCAGCAGCAGCATCATCAGCAGCATCATCAACATCATCACCATCAGCATCATCATCGTCATCATCATCATCGTCATCATCATCATCGGCATCTTCGGCAACCGGAGCATTGTCATCGGCAGGGGGGTTGAGGGGGGAGAGAGTGGGGGGTTAGGGGGGTGAGGGTGGGGGGGTGAGGGGGGGGTGTTGGAGGGGGTGAGAGGGGGTGGGGGTGGGGGTGTGAGTGGGGGTGGAGAAAGTGGGGGGGTGAGGGTGGGGGGTTAGGGAGGTGAGTAAGGGGGTGAGGGTGGGGGGGTGGAGAGAGTGGGGGGGTGAGGGTGGGGTGAGGGTGGGGGGTGAGGGTGGGGTGAGGGGAGGGGGTGGGGGGTGGAGAAAGTGGGGGGTGGGAGAGAGTGGGAGGGGGGTGGAGAGAGTGGGGGGGGGTGAGGGTGGGGGGTGAGGGCTGGTGAGGTTGGGGTGGTAAGGTGGGGGTGGAGAGAGTGGGATTGGGGTGAGGGGGTGGGGGGTGGAGAGTGTGGGGGGTGTGAGTGAGTGGGGTGAGTGAGTGTGGGTGGGCGGTGAGTTGGGGCTGACCTGGCCCCGTGAGGCCGACTCGATCTCTGCGCCCAGGGACTGGGACTTGGCTGCGGCCGTCAGGAGGCCCTGGGCCTCGTGCAGGCCCAGAGCCACGAGCTGCCCGCCCAGCTCCTCGTTCGACTCTTTCAGCTTGACGTTCTCCTGACCAGGGGTGGCGCCGTCGTCATTATCGTCGTCGTCGTCATCATCGTCGTCGTCGTCATCGTCGTCATCATCGTCGTCATCGTCATCATCGTCATCATCGTCGTCATCATCGTCGTCATCGTCATCATCATCGTCATCATCGTCGCCGTCGTCATCATCATCGTCGTCATCGTCGTCGTCATCGTCATCATCGTCGTCATCGTCATTGATGTCATCGTCATCATCATCGTCGTCGTCGTCATCATCGTCATCATCATCATCATCATCGTCGTCATCATCGACGTCGTCGCCGTAGTCGGGGTGAGCGTGCGTGTGAGCGTGTGGGTGAGCGTGCGTGTGAGCGTGCGGGTGAGCGTGCGTGTGAGCGTGTGGGTGAGCGCGCGGGCGAGCGTGCGGGCGAGCATGCGGGTGAGTGAGTGAGCGTGCGGGTGAATGAGTGAGCGTGCGGGCGAGCGTTACCTGTTTCAGCCTCCGCACCTCCCCCTCGAGCTCGCCCTCACGCGGCGAGCGCCCCGCCCCCCCGCCCCCCCTCTCCGGCCCCCCAGCCCCCCCCCCCCGAGCCCCCCACGATCCGAGCGGCGCAGCTGCTGCTGGTGCAGCAGCTCGCGCCGCAGGTCCTCCACCAGCTGACCGAGACGACAACAACAACAACGACAACGAGCACAACGATGATGGCCGCGACAATGATAGCAACGACGACCACAATACCACCGCCATCATCATCACCGCCACCGCCACCGCCGCCGCCATCACCACTGTCCTCACCGCCGCCACCGCCGCCACCGCCGCCACCGCCGCCACCGCCACCACCACCACCACCGCCGCCGCCACTGCCACCACCACCACCACCACCGCCACCCGCCACCACCACCACCACCGCCGCCGCCACCGCCACCACCACCACCACCACCGCCACCACCGCCACCACCGCCACCACCACCACCACCATCGCGCTCACTGCCCTCACACCTTCACCGCCACCGCCACCACCACCACCACCACCGCCACCGCCGCCACCACCACCACCACCACCACCGCCGCTGCCACCACCACCGCCACCGCCACCACCACCACCGTCACCGCCACCACCACCAGCATCACCCTCACCGCCCTCACCACCTTCACCGCCACCGCCACCACCACCACCACCACCGCCACCACCACCACCGCCGCCATCGCCCTCACCGCCCTCACCACCTTCACCGCCACCGCCACCACCACCACCACCGCCACCACCACCACCACTGCCGCCACCACCACCACCACCACCGCCACCGCCACCACCACCACCGTCACCACTGCCCTCACCGCCCCCACCACTGTCACCGCCACCACCACCACTGTCACCGCCACCACCACCGCCACCACCACCACCAACACCACCACCAACACCACCACCACCAACACCAACACCACTACCAACACCACCACCAACACCACCACCACCACCAACAACACCACCACCAACACCACCACCACCAACACCACCACCAACACCACCACCAACACCACCACCGCCACCACCACCACCAACACCACCACCAACTCCACCACCACCAACACCACCACCGCCACCACCACCAACACCACCACCACCACCGCCCTCACCACTGTCACCGCCACCACAACCACCACCACCACCGCCCTCACCACTGTCACCGCCACCACAACCACCACCACCACCGCCCTCACCACTGTCACCGCCACCACAACCACCACCACCGCCACCACCGCCCTCACCACTGTCACCGCCACCACCACCACCACCGCCACCAACGCCCTCACCACTGTCACCGTCACCACCACCACCGCCACCACCACCCTCACCGCCACCACTGTCACCGCCACCACCACCACCACCGCCCTCAACACTGTCACCGCCACCACAACCACCACCACCGCCCTCACCACTGTCACCACCACCGCCACCAACGCCCTCACCACTGTCACCGTCACCACCACCACCACAACCGCCACCACCACCCTCACCGCCACCACTGTCACCGCCACCACAACCACCACCACCGCCACCACCGCCCTCACCACCACCGCCACCACCACCGCCACCAACGCCCTCACCACTGTCACCATCACCACCACCACCGCCACCACCACCCTCACCGCCACCACTGTCACCGCCACCACTGTCACCGCCACCACCACCACCGCCCTCACCACCGCCAACACCACCACCGTCACCACCACCACCACCACCTCCACCACCACCACCACCACCGTCACCGCCCTCACCACCACCGTCACCACCACCACCACCACCGCCCTCACCACCACCACCACCACCCTCACCGCTTGCGTCTCCTCTGTGTCGCGCAGGAACTGGCTCCTGCCGTGCCTGACCACCACCACCACCGCCACCAACACCACCCTCACCGCCCTCACCACCACCACCACCACCAACACCACCACCACCACCACCCTCACCGCTTGTGTCTCCTCCGCGTCGCGCAGGAACTGGCTCCTGCCGTGCCTGACCACCCACCACCAACACCACCACCACCACCACCACCGCCACCACCACAGCCACCACCACCACCACTGCCACCGCCACCACCACCACCACTGCCACCACCACCACCACCACCACCGCCACCCTCACCGCTTGCGTCTCCTCTGCGTCGCGCAGGAACTGGCTCCTGCCGTGCCTGACCACCACCACCACCCTCACCGCCCTCACCACCACCACCACCTTCACCACCAACACCACCGCCACCACCACCACCACCTCCACCACCACCACCACCGCCCTCACCGCTTGCGTCTCCTCCGTGTCTCGCAGGAACTGGCTCCTGCCGTGCCTGACCACCACCACCACCGCCGCCCTCACCACCACCACCACCGTCACCACCACCACCGCCACTGTCACCACCACCACCACCGCCACCACCACCACCACCCTCACCGCTTGCGTCTCCTCTGCGTCGCGCAGGAACTGGCTCCTGCCGTGCCTGACACGCGCCGCCAGCTGCTGCCCGAGGCGTCCCTCCTCTTGCAGCCGCGACAGCAGCTCGCGCAGCTTCTCCTGCAGCCGGGTCGTCTCCTGTGCGACACCAACACGGGCACGCAGCGTCCAGGAGGATGATGAGGATGAGGAAGATGAGGATGATGAGGATGAGGAGGATGAGGAGGATGAGGAGGATGATGAGAAGATGAGAAGATGAGCAGCTCGCGCAGCTTCTCCTGCAGACGCGTCGTCTCCTGTGCACCACACACCGACACGGGCACGCAGCGTGCAGCAGGAGCGAGTGAGGAGTGAGTGAAGAGTGAGTGAGTGAAGAGTGAGTGGTGAGTGAGGAGTGAGTGAGTGGTGAGTGAGTGGGTGAGGATGATGAGTGAGTGAGCCGCGTTGTCTCCTGTGCACCACAGCGACACGGGCACGCAGCGTCCAGCAGGAGTGAGTGGTGAGTGAGGAGTGAGTGAGTGATGAGTGAGTGGTGAGTGAGTGAGGAGTGAGTGGTGAGTGAGTGAGTGGGTGAGCCGCGTCGTCTCCTGCACCACTCCGACACGGGCACACAGCGTCCAGGAGGAGTGAGGATGAGTGAAGAGTGAGTGAGTGGAGAGTGAGGAGTGAGTGAGTGAAGAGTGAGTGAGTGGGTGAGGAGTGAGTGAAGAGTGAGTGAGTGGAGAGTGAGGAGTGAGTGAGTGGTGAGTGAGTGAGTGAGGAGTGAGTGAGCCGCGTCGTCTCCTGCACCACACCGACACGGGCACGCAGCGTGCAGGAGGAGTGAGGATGAGTGAGTGAGTGAGGAGTGAGTGAGTGAAGAGTGAGTGAGTGAGGAGTGAGTGAGTGAGTGAGGAGTGAGTGGTGAGTGAGGAAGTGAGTGAGTGAGTGGTGAGTGAGTGGTGAGTGAGTGGGTGAGTGAGTGAGTGGAGAGTGAGGAGTGAGTGAGTGGTGAGTGAGTGAGTGAGGAGTGAGTGAGCCGCGTCGTCTCCTGCACCACACCGACACGGGCACGCAGCGTGCAGGAGGAGTGAGGATGAGTGAGTGAGTGAGGAGTGAGTGAGTGAAGAGTGAGTGAGTGAGTGAGGAGTGAGTGAGTGAGTGAGGAGTGAGTGGTGAGTGAGGAGTGAGTGAGTGAGTGGTGAGTGAGTGGTGAGTGAGTGGGTGAGTGAGTGAGTGGTGAGTGAGTGGTGAGTGAGTGGTGAGTGAGTGAGTGAGGAGTGAGTGAGTGAGCCGCGTCGTCTCCTGCACCACACCGACACGGGCACGCAGCATGCAGGAGGAGTGAGGATGAGTGAGTGAGTGTAGAGTGAGTGAGTGGAGAGTGAGTGGTGAGTGAGTGGTGAGTGAGTGAGTGAGGAGTGAGTGAGTGAGCCGCGTCGTCTCCTGCACCACACCGACACGGGCACGCAGCGTGCAGGAGGAGGAGGAAGAGAAGGATGATGAAGAGGATGATGCGCTCTCTCTGCCCGTCACCATGAGCAGGACGCCTGGGGCCCGCTTCTATGCCATGCTCACTCTGGTGCCAGAGAGAGATTCGCTCACATGCACAGCACCGCACCATACTCTTTGGTTCGTTCGGTAAAGTCACGTAGGTAGACAAATAAAATAAAACAAAAAATAAACACATCACGACGTTTCCATCGCGATCGAAAAATAAGTATAACCCGTAAAAACAAAGTTTTTCACTCTAAATACTTTATATGCGTGGCGGCTAGAGTCCTCTCGTCCTCTGGCTTGAGATGGCTGCCACCTATGGGTCAGATGATTGTCTGCCAGTATTAAGCAATTGGTAATTAAATATTTAATTAGTTTTCCCTAAACAGTGTAAAATTTTGGGAAAAAATTTTCACGAACATTAATTGTCTCGCACAACGAGTCTGTGTGCAAAATGTCAGCTCGATTGGATCACGGGAAGTGGGTTAAAAAACGACCGAAAGATTTGCACGGTCGTAAGCAAGCAAGCACGCAAGCAAGCACGCAAGCAAGTGAACTTAATATAAAGGATTTAAAAAATATATTTCACGACGTTTCCATCGCGATTGAAACGTCGTGATGTATTATTTTTCATATTCTTGTTTCTTTCGGTAAAGTCGCGTAGAAGGGAAATAATAAAATAATAAAAATAAAACGAGAAAATTCTCACGACGTTTCCATCGCAACGCAAGCAATGATCATCAGGTGTGAAAACCACAGCAAAATATTTTGAAAAATTTGAAAAAACCGCCACTCTTTTTCTAATTTTCTAACCCCCCCAAAAAACCTGTCTATTGTGGATGATATCGGTGGCGAATGCCTCCTCTCTCACCTCCTCCAGCTTCTCGATCTGAGACCTGAGACGAGGGATGGACATCTTCATCTCCTCGTTCTCCTCCTCTGCCTCCAGCAGCCTGCACGCAGCTCACCCAGAGAGGGGAGGGGGGGGAAGGGAGGTGAGGAACTCCACTCACCTGATGGTGATGTTGATGGTGATGTTGATGTTGATGATGGTGAGTGATGTTGATGTTGAGTGATGGTACCTGCTGGCTACGCCGTCCACCTGCACCTCGGCCTCCCTGTGGTGATGATGAGTGTTGATGGTGATGTTGAGTGGTGATGTTGAGTGATGATGGTGATGATGATGATGATGATGGTACCTGCTCGCCACGCCGTCCACCTGCAGGTCGGCCTCACTGTGGTGATGTTGATGTTGATGGTGATGATGAGTGGTGTGAGTGGTGTAAGTGGTGAGTGGTGATGTTGATGTTGAGTGGTGATGTTGATGGTGATGTTGATGGTGAGTGTTGATGTTGATGATGAGTGGTGAGTGTTGATGTTGATGATGATGTTGATGGTGAGTGGTGATAGTGAGTGGTAATGTTGATGTTGATAATGGTACCTGCTGGCCACGCTGTCTACCTGCAGGTCGGCCTCCCGGTGTGATGGTGATGTTGAGTGGTGATGTTGAGTGGTGATGGTGATGTTGATGTTGAGTGGTGATGTTGATGGTGATGATGAGTGGTGATGATGATGTTGATGTTGATGATGATGTTGATGATGATGTTGATGATGTTGATGATGTTGATGTTGAGTGATGTTGATGTTGAGTGGTGATGTTGATGGTGATGATGAGTGGTGATGATGATGTTGATGATGATGTTGATGATGATGTTGATGATGTTGATGATCTACACTATGGGGACCTCATTTGCCAGTAAAAATATGATAATTGGTTCTTTACCCTTCTATCTGGCAACAAAACTGACACCTTTTTGCAAGGAGTCATGTTTGCATAGACCGCAATACCTGCAGTCATAATACAAACAAAAGAACATAACTCTGATAATGTGCACTGTCCTTGAAGTTGATTGGTCCACACCCGAGACAGCTTTCCTTCGAGCCTAGTCTCATATGGGTTGGACCAGATGACGCCAAAAGGCGCACAACTCAAGGACAATGCACCATCAGAGTATGAGAGCTCGGGGCAAGCATCTACACTATGGGGACCTCATTTGCCAGTAAAAATATGATAATTGGTTCTTTACCCTTCTATCTGGCAACAAAACTGACACCTTTTTGCAAGGAGTCATGTTTGCATAGACCGCAATACCTGCAGTCATAATACAAACAATAGAACATAACTCTGATAATGTGCACTGTCCTTGAAGTTGATTGGTCCACACCCGAGACAGCTTTCCTTCGAGCCTAGTCTCATATGGGTTGGACCAGATGACGCCAAAAGGCGCACAACTCAAGGACAATGCACCATCAGAGTATGAGAGCTCGGGGCAAGCATCTACACTATGGGGACCTCATTTGCCAGTAAAAATATGATAATTGGTTCTTTACCCTTCTATCTGGCAACAAAACTGACACCTTTTTGCAAGGAGTCATGTTTGCATAGACCGCAATACCTGCAGTCATAATACAAACAAAAGAACATAACTCTGATAATGTGCACTGTCCTTGAAGTTGATTGGTCCACACCCGAGACAGCTTTCCTTCGAGCCTAGTCTACGGAAAGCTGTCTCGGGTGTGGACCAATCAACTTCAAGGACAGTGCACATTATCAGAGTTATGTTCTTTTGTTTGTATTATGACTGCAGGTATTGCGGTCTATGCAAACATGACTCCTTGCAAAAAGGTGTCAGTTTTGTTGCCAGATAGAAGGGTAAAGAACCAATTATCATATTTTTACTGGCAAATGAGGTCCCCATAGTGTAGATGCTTGCCCCGAGCTCTCATACTCTGATGGTGCATTGTCCTTGAGTTGTGCGCCTTTTGGCGTCATCTGGTCCAACCCATATGAGACTAGGCTCGAAGGAAAGCTGTCTCGGGTGTGGACCAATCAACTTCAAGGACAGTGCACATTATCAGAGTTATGTTCTTTTGTTTGTATTATGACTGCAGGTATTGCGGTCTATGCAAACATGACTCCTTGCAAAAAGGTGTCAGTTTTGTTGCCAGATAGAAGGGTAAAGAACCAATTATCATATTTTTACTGGCAAATGAGGTCCCCATAGTGTAGATGCTTGCCCCGAGCTCTCATACTCTGATGGTGCATTGTCCTTGAGTTGTGCGCCTTTTGGCGTCATCTGGTCCAACCCATATGAGACTAGGCTCGAAGGAAGGCTGTCTCGGGTGTGGACCAATCAACTTCAAGGACAGTGCACATTATCAAAGTTATGTTCTTTTGTTTGTATTATGACTGCAGGTATTGCGGTCTATGCAAACATGACTCCTTGCAAAAAGGTGTCAGTTTTGTTGCCAGATAGAAGGGTAAAGAACCAATTATCATATTTTTACTGGCAAATGAGGTCCCCATAGTGTAGATGCTTGCCCCGAGCTCTCATACTCTGATGGTGCATTGTCCTTGAGTTGTGCGCCTTTTGGCGTCATCTGGTCCAACCCATATGAGACTAGGCTCGAAGGAAAGCTGTCTCGGGTGTGGACCAATCAACTTCAAGGACAGTGCACATTATCAGAGTTATGTTCTTTTGTTTGTATTATGACTGCAGGTATTGCGGTCTATGCAAACATGACTCCTTGCAAAAAGGTGTCAGTTTTGTTGCCAGATAGAAGGGTAAAGAACCAATTATGATGTTGATGATGTTGATGTTGATGATGGTGATGTTGATACCTGCTGGCGACGCCGTCCACCTCCACCTCGGCCTCCCGGTGTGATGGTGATGTTGATGTTGATGGTGATGTTGATGATGTTGATGGTGATGTTGATACCTGCTGGCCACGACGTCCACCTCCACCTCGGCCTCCCGGTGTGATGGTGATGGTGAGTGTTGATGTTGATGATGGTGATGTTGATGTTGATGATGGTGATGTTGATGATGTTGATGTTGATGGTGATGATGGTACCTGCTGGCCACGCCATCCACCTTCACCTCGGCCTCCCGGTGTGATGTCGATGATGTTGATGTTGAGTGATGGTGGTGATGTTGATGATGTTACCTGCTGGCCACGACGTCCACCTACACCTCGGCCTCCCGGTGTGATGTTGATGATGGTGATGATGTTGATGATGATGATGTTACCTGCTGGCCACGACGTCCACCTGCAGGTCGGCCTCCCGGTGTGATGTTGATGATGGTGAAGATGTTGATGTTGATGTTCATGTTGAGTGGTGATGTTGATGTTGATGATGGTACCTGCTGGCCACGCCATCCACCTCCACCTCGGCCTCGCGGTGTGATGTTGAGTGGTGATGTTGATGAGTGTTGATGGTGATGTTGATGGTGATGTTGATGGTGATGTTGATGTTGAGTGTTGATGTTGATGATGGTACCTGCTGGCCACGCCATCCACCTCCACCTCGGCCTCGCGGTGTGATGGTGAGTGGTGATGTTGATGAGTGTTGATGGTGATGTTGATGGTGATGTTGATGGTGATGTTGATGTTGAGTGTTGATGTTGATGATGGTACCTGCTGGCCACGACGTCCACCTCCACCTCGGCCTCGCGGTGTGATGGTGATGTTGAGTGGTGATGTTGAGTGGTGATGGTGATGTTGATGTTGATGATGTTGATGGTGATGATGTTGATGATGGTACCTGCTGGCCACGCCATCCACCTCCACCTCGGCCTCAGCAAGAAGGTGTGATGTTGAGTGGTGATGTTGATGAGTTGTTGATGGTAGGATGTTGATGGTGTATGTTGTATGGTGATGTTGATGTTGAGTGTTGATGTTGAGGATGGTAACCTGCTGGCCACGC